CTAAATCCTCAAAAGGTTGGTTGTGGCATAGACGACTAGGTCACGTTGGCATGAGAAAGCTTGACAAGCTTATTAAGGGAAATCATATCCTTGGAGTTAACGATGTCATATTTGATAAGGACAGACTTTGCAGTGCTTGTCAAGCAGATAAACAGGTTGGAGGAAGGCATCCTGTGAAGAACATCATGACCACAAGGAGGCCACTCGAGCTACTTCATATAGATCTTTTTGGTCCCAATGCCTACAAGAGTCTCGGTGAAAATTCTTTTGGTCTAGTTATAGTTGATGATTTTTCAAGATTTACGTGGGTGTTCTTTCTTAATGACAAGTCGCAGGTCCAGAAGATCTTCAAAAACTTCGCTAGGAAGGCCCAAAATCAGTTTGATATGAAGATCAAGAAGGTTCGGAGTGACAATGGAACGGAGTTCAAGAACGCAAATGTGGACACCTTTCTTGACGAAGAAGGGATTTCACACGAGTTCTCGGCTACGTACACACCTCAACAAAATGGAGTTGTTGAGAGGAAGAACCGGACGCTCATCGAAATGGCAAGAACGATGCTTGATGAATACAAGACGCTGAAGCACTTTTGGGCAGAAGCGGTTGAGACAACCTGTCACGCAACAAATCGCTTGTATCTTCACAAGCTGCTCGGCAAGACGGCATACGAGCTCCTCACCGGTAACAAACCCCAAGTTGGATACTTTCGAGTATTCGGCTCAAAGTGCTACATTCTTGATAAGCATCGTCGTTCAAAATTTGCTCCTAAATCTCATGAAGGTTTTCTACTTGGTTATGGCTCAAACTCTCACACTTACCGTGTCTACAACAATTTCATCCAAAAGGTTGAAGAGACGGTAGATGTGAAGTTTGATGAATCTAATGGCTCGCAAGTAGAGCAATTGCCAATTGATGTAGGAGACAAAGACCCTTCAGAAGCAATCCAAGACTTGTCCATTGGCAAAATCCGTCCAACGGAGGTGAAGGAGAGTACCTCGTCCGTCCAAGTGGAAGCCTCTACTTCACGACAAGGTGAACCAAGAATTGATACGGAAGCATCCACAAGTGGGACACGCCAAGATGAAGAAGACGAGGAAGTACATCAAGACGAACATCAACAACCTCCTTCTCCACCACGATAAGAGAATGACAACGTCAACAATGAAGAAGGCCAAGAAGAAGAACAAGATGAAGAAGATGTTCAACAAAGACCCAAGCAAAAGCTCTCACGAGTTCGAGCAAGAATTGCCAAAGATCATCCCGTCGAGCAAATCTTAAATGATATACAAACCGGGAGAATCACTCGCTCAAAGACTCGTTTAGCTAACTTTTGTGAAAATTATTCATTCATCTCTAGCATTGAACCTATGAAGGTTGAAGAAGCATTGGAAGATCCGGATTGGATAAACGCTATGCATGAAGAGCTACACAACTTTGAGAGAAACCAAGTTTGGACATTGGTTGAGAAGCCCGACGACAACCACAACATCATTGGTACCAAATGGGTGTTTCGCAACAAGCAAGATGAAGATGGACAAATGGTTCGCAACAAAGCACGTCTTGTCGCCCAAGGGTACACACAAGTCGAAGGTATGGACTATGGTGAGACATATGCTCCCGTTGCTAGACTTGAGTCCATTCGCATCTTACTTGCCTATGCTAATCACCATAACATCACCTTGTACCAAATGAACATTAAAAGTGCTTTTCTAAATGGTGAAATAGAGGAGGAAGTTTATGTCAAACAACCTCCCGGCTTTATCAACCCTAAGAAACCAAATCATGTTTACAAACTTCACAAAGCTCTTTATGGTCTTAAACAAGCTCCTAGAGCATGGTATAAATGTTTGACCAAGTTCCTTATTACAAGTGGTTTTGAAATTGGTAAAATTGATTCTACTCTTTTTACTAAAAGGGTTAATGGAGAACTATTTGTATGCCAAATTTATGTTGATGATATCATATTTGGTTCAACTAACCCTCTCTTTAGTGAAAAGTTTGGAAAGCTAATGTCAGAGAAGTTTGAGATGTCTATGATGAGTGAACTCAAATTCTTTCTCGGTTTGTAAATCAAGCAAACTAAGGGAGGTACATTTGTCTCTCAAACAAAGTACACCAAGGACTTATTCGAGAAGTTCAATATGCAAGAGTGCAAAGGTATGTCTACACCCATGCCTACTAGTGGACATAATGATTTGACCAAAGATGGTGAACCGGTTGATCAAAAGGTTTACCACTCTATGATTGGTTCATTGCTATACCTATGTGCTTCACGTCCCGATATTATGCTAAGTGTGTGCATGTGTGCACGATATCAAGCTGCTCCTAAAGAATGTCATCTTAAGGCGTTAAAAGGATAGTGAGATACTTAATCCATACACCAAACTTTGGCATTTGGTATCCTAAGAGGTCTTCTTTTGATCTTGTTGGCTATTCCGACTCGGATTATGCCGGAGACAAGGTTGATAGAAAGTCCACTTCGGATACTTGTCAATTTCTTGGTAGATCTCTTGTGTCTTGGTCTTCCAAGAAACAAAACTCGGTATCCTTATCCACCGCCGAAGCGGAATACATTGCCGCTGGTTCATGTTGTGCTCAATTACTTTGGATGACCCAAACTCTTAAAGATTATGGGATCTATGTGAAACATGCTCCACTGCTTTGTGACAATGAAAGTGCTATCAAAATTGGTCATAATCCTGTACAACATTCTCGAACTAAGCATATTGAAGTTCCTCATCATTTCATTCGAGATCATGTTGCTAAGGGTGACATTAATATTAAGCATATTCGCACCGATAAGCAATTAGCGGATATATTCACTAAACCACTTGATGAGAAAGTGTTTTGCAGGTTGAGAGGAGAATTAAACATCATTGATGCTTCAAACTTGGAGTAGGAACTCCATTGGATACATGCAAGACATGAGCTTATGACTAATCCATGATATATCTCTTATGATGACTATCTTATGTCTTGGATATATTTGTACCTTGCATGTTGTCTAACCCATGTAGGTGCTTGGTTGAATCTAATTCCATGAGATTGCGACTCACTCACATCCTGAGCAATCTCTACATCACCAAGTCTCTACACAATGGTGGTTAAAGACAAGGAAGCACAAAACCACTCAAACATATCCTTTGACAAATTCTATGTTGAGCTTCATGATTATCATTTTTTTGGATACACAAGTGCTCTTCCTTGCAAGAACTAACCCATGTAGGTAGATGAACTCAAACTCCAAGTGGTGCTCCCAACTCTTGATGAGCTACATCAACCTTGAGCACCCACACAAGTTCAACTACATGAGCAAGAACCACACCACCACCCAAGGTATGTTATTCCATCTTAGAGAAGCTTTACTCCAAGACATGAGTCAAAGCAACTCAACAAGATGTGAATACATCAAGATGCTTAAACGAAAAATGATAACCCCATTTTGAGCTTAAACGATGAGTATGACCTATGATCAAGTGTTCTCACTTGACTCCTAAGTCAATATACTCTAACATAGGTGACTATGTCACCGCCCAACTCTAGATGAAGTTCTCTTGTGTTCTTTTTTGTGTTATTGCATTTGTCTCATGCTTGTTTATTTGTTTCCTCCTCTTTTTCAAAAAAAACTTCATCTAGATCTTTCAGTTTCTTCTCTTTTCTTTTTGTTTTTTTCTGCATTTTCTGCATTCAATTCATTGCAAATCTTTGTGAGATCCTACACGACTAGTGAGCTGAGGTGACAAGTGTTTTTTTGTGTGAACTCGGTTTCACCGACTTGTAATTTTCGGTCCAACCGAATCTTTTCGGTTCCACCGAAACATGCCACTCGGTGTCACCGACTTTGCAACAGAAAAACAGTTTGCCACTTGTTCTGTATTTCTTCTATTCCAGCTCTACTCAATGAATCTTGCCCTCTACAAGCATCACAGTTTTATCCATTGCTTTGTGTTGAGTCTCAAGGACCAAACCTATACGACGGATTCCAGAAAGCCCTTCTTGGAAATTGATGTCAAAGGGGGAGAAAGAGAACACATCAAAGCTAGAGGGGGAGAGAAAGTCTCAAGGATCCCAGATGTCCCAGATAAAGTATTATGGGGGAGAAAGAGATTTCCAGGGGGAGAGAAAATACTCAAGGATCCCAGATGCTTGATGTTCAAGAGGAGAGATGTCACATGTCTTTTTAGGGGGAAAGACATGCTCATATGTATCTTTCAGCTCTGATTTTCTGTTCCCTATCTTCTCCTAATATCCCATGTAAGATTCAGGGGGAGCAAGACACTTAAGGGAAAGAAATCAGTCAAATTCATTGCATATCTTTACTCTTGGGGACATGTTGAATTCAATGTAGTACCTAGTACTTACTCTCTACATGTCATCCCAGTCTTGATATTCTTGCGGTTTCTTTTGTTTGCTCTGGCTAGTGGATCTATTTGGAGTCCATTGGTTAAACAATTTATATCATATACATGAATTTTGAAGTAAAAAATAGATAGAAATATGAAATTTGTAACATTAGCTTATAATATATTACTAGCATGTATCAATTTACCAATGATTCACTTGCAATATTAACATCTATAATCTCATGGAGCATATTCACATGAAAATAGTGCCATGACTTTTGATCTACAGGCCCTATCAAAATACAAATAGCACATATACAAACATGCGAAAAAATCTAGCCACGCAAATGCGCGGGTCACACTGCTAGTTCTTTTGATGAAAAGAAGATCTTTACGAAGATTAGACAATGCCGGTATTGTTCCGTTTCAGGAGATCAACATTCCAAACGGCCTAGCCGGAGAAACATGCATAGTTGGAACATCGACGTACTACAACCCTCCGACCTGAATTAATTGACGCAGCCCTCTATACAATTATTAAACTCGGGCTTTTCTTTTATTTTTATTTTGCGAATAGTAATCTCTTGTCTTGCCGCAAACTGAAGTTATACATGAAGCCGATGGACACCTTATCACCGATGAACACCCAAGGTTCTATCAGTGGTGGTGCTGAGGGTTGGATCCCCCTGGACTGAGCCTCTTGGAGGTCCCATAAACGACCAGATCGGCGATCTCTTGCGGTGGCCGCACTGCGGCCGTGGTGCTCGCCACCGCCGTCGCCTGCAGGCCACCACCCCTGTCGACGTCCTCGAGCTGCCTACGGTGGTGCAGCGGGCAGCGACCGGACAGGAGATCCGCCGGGGAGGAGCCTGCGACGACTAGGACGACGAAACAGACGCAGAAGCACAGGAGTAGCCTCGTCATTAAGCTCGTCCGTACGTACTTGATCAGTTGATCTGCAAATGGTGGCTACACCTAAACTGCCGTAATGCATATGTATCTGCAGGTTAATTAGCAGGAGACGAGCATTTATAGGCTAAGCATGAACACTAAGGCTAGGCGGTGCAGTGCTGGGCTGCTAAAAGAAATGGAAAAGCTAGCTGGTATGACCTGAAACGCTCAATGCACTAGCAAACACTTTTCATCTTGACCATGCGTTCTTGTTTCGAAATACTAAGCTCAAGTGCTCTTTCCACACGGATAGTGGTTGACAACGTGAAAGGTCAAAGCAAAAGAGCACGCAGCGCACTTTTGTCTCCATTTTCTTCGACTTTCTAGGCGCGCGACAAGATGTCATTTCAAGTCCTGCCTGATGGGGTTTGCAATTGAATACTTGAATTCGATAGTAGTATTGCCTTGCGCATTAAGCTTGTGTATATGCATTGAGCCTGCTCTATCAGTTAGGCTCAGGTTAGATTATGCTCTAGTTTACTTGTTCGATTAAAACGATAATGATGGCGCTCGTCCGCGGGGGTCAAAGAGAGAGACATACCTGCCAAAAACCGGCGCATGCAGGACCCACCAGTAGTTATCTATCTTGGCCTCTTGGGTCATGGATGATCGTATGGTTCACTCAGAGTCACATTCAAGTGATCTTCCAAGGTAAGCACGTACGTCAATTGTAATGCCACCCTTGCATGAATGCTCCATTCAGTTGTGCAGCTGTGTATTATCCTGCATTAGTTTTTGTATTTACCCTAAGAAGTGCAACCTGCACTTTCCTAAAAAAAAAGGAAAGAATACAACCTCTGCTAGGTAAATGATAAACAAAGTTATTTTTTGATGTTGAATACTATCTAGCATGTTCTTGATCAAATGATGTAACAATTGTGGTGTGAACTTGGACAAAAGTGATCTAAAGCAATAATCTATAATTCACAATAAGCAAGTAACATCAAAATGTGTAAACAAAATTACTATCGCTTTTTCATGGATCACCTCAATAACCACCAGGGACACATCACCTTCCGTGCCTTCCTACTGTTTTTTCCTTCTTTTGATGTATGTCAACTTGTAACACTAAAAAGAAGATCTCTGGCTTTTTTCCTTTCTTTTTCTTTTCTTTATTCTTTTCCTTCTCCTTACTTTTATTTCTCTTTTTTTTATTTTTTTATTTTTATAAATGCATGAACCTTTTTCAAATTCGATACACTTTTTTCAAAATTGATGTTTTTTTCAGAATCAATGAACTTTTTTCTTAAAATGGATGAACTTTTTATCAAAATATTTGAAACTTTTTAAAGAAATTTGAAAATTTTTTAATACATGATTTTGTCATTTGGTGAACTTTTTTGAAAATTGATGATTTTTAAAAAAAATTGTGAACTTTTCTAGAGTATTTGAATTTTTTTAAATCAACTTCTTGGAATTCGTGAACTTTTTGAATAGATGAACGCTTTTCGATTTGGTGACTTCTTTGTGAATACATTTTTTTGCATGTTTCCGAACTTTATTTGAAATCTGTGAATTTTCAAATTTGGTTCACATTTAAAAATATAATATTTTCCAAAATGTTTTCAAATAATTCAAAAATCTGAATGCTACAGTAAATGATACTGTGTAGTGTGCAATACATAGCGCGAGAAACAATTGTTCCTAAATCGTCCACGCGATAATTAGTTACTAGCACTTAGTAGCTATAATTAGCCAAACACCTACATGATAGCAACGGCGCGAGTTTGATTCCTCGTTGAGAGCCATTTTTTTTGGGGGGGGGGGGTGTTTTTCACGCTTTAATACAACTCGTTGTGCTATGCATTCATGGGCCGACGCACCAGGGCCGCAAGGAGCGCCAGGTGCCTTCCGTGGCGCTAAAGGCGCGGAATAGGACCCCCCCCCCTCCCCCAAAGTGAAGACCACAACTATGTTTTTATTTTTCGGGGGAAAAAGATGGCCGAAACCTAGTAACATGGGACTTAGTTTCAAAAATCTCAACCTGAGAAATCCAACGATG